GGGAGCCCGTGGGTCGCATTCACCCTCAGTGGCTCCTGTCAGGGTTTGGACAGAGGGAAGGGCAAAGAGAGGAGAGGGCCATATTCTGAAGGGCAGTTGGGGTAGGAAGGGGCACCAAGAGAAGGAGAGAGGAGGACACTGAAGGGTTGGGAGGTGGGGCCACTGGATATTGACATGTTTGACTTCAGAATTTGTCCCAGGTCCCTGGAGGGCCTCTCTATGCAGGTTGCTTTTCCCTCCTGCACAGCCTCCTCCTGGGTTGCTCCTGGAAAGGGGCAGGCTCTTCAGAGAAGGGATCTGTTGCAGATGAGGCCTCCCTGCCTCACCCTCTCTCTTTCCCTTAGAAGCCCTAACTTCCCCGGCTTTCAGATGGGAAAGCACATAAAGGGGAACACCTGGTGGTGCCGTTTCTGGGAAAGCCACTGCAGTAAGCTCAGAGGACCCTCCGAGAGGAAGAGCAAGCAAGGTCCCAAGAGAGAAGAAAGGGTGGGTGAAGTGGTTTGTCAGGATGTAGTCCTGCAGGTGGACACTTTCCTGAGGCCCTGCATGCTCCTCTGAAAGGGCAGGCCCTGGAGTCAGACGCAGGCCTGAGATAAGAGACAGTGCTATTGCCTGTTGGTTCATTACTGTTCTCCTGTGACATATTTGGGGTCTCCAAGTAAGAGCCAGGGCCTTTCTTACACAGAATCCTGTCTCTCTGGCCCCAAGTTACTGCCGGTTACCACGTGGCTGGGGGCAGCCATAGGCCACCAAGGTGAATTGTGGACTTGTCTCAACACATCTTTCTCACTTGTTACCTGCTCTCCCTGGCACAGTCCTTCTTTCATGTCACAAGAAAATATATATTCTCCTTTTTCAAAATCAGATGGAAGGGACCCAAAGAAAGGACCATCAAGAAAGCCCTCCCTCTATGCAGGATAGACTTTTTCTTGAGAGGCAATGGGTGAACCCTTCCAATGACTGGTTGCTCCTTCCCTCACCAAGGACCTCCCTCCTCCTTAGGACAACTCCAGCTGTTAGGAAGTTGTCTTCCTTCATTTGGGTACCCAGCTACCTCCTGGGATCTTTCTCCTAGTGGTTTGATTGGCCAAATGTTGATAAATCCTTTCTCTGCCTTCAGAAGTTGCCAGCTTGCTCTAGTGCATCCCTTAAGTCTTCTCCTCCAGGCCAAGGTTTCTTTGGCATGTCCTCAATGGCTTCCTTCTCCCATCTTCCCCTCCCTCGTCTACTGAAGGACCCTTTCCTGTCAGCACCTCAGCTCCCTTAGCACCTTGGGGCCCGAGGGAGCTGGCCACACTCAGCACCGCTTCATGAACACCCACCTGGCCAGGGCTAGAGGAGATTTTATTCACATGGGGAGTTGAGGAGCATCCCAAGGTCAGGGCCCTTTGTGTCCAGTTCCCTACTCCTTCTCTATGCTCACCCCTGGCCCTCAGTGGACACCCACCCCAGAATGAGGACCCAGTGATCCCAGAATGCCCCAGCTGAGTGGAATATTAAAGAGCATCCAACCTTGTATTTTACACTGGGCTATGCTTACCCCCAAGCCCTCAGCCATGAGCTGGGCCTATCAGAGCTTCAGAGTAGCTACAGAAACACCTGGTCTTTACTAGAAGATTCTGGAAAAAAGGCAAGTAATGTAAGTCAAGTAATTTAAGACTATATTTTTATGGTTTTTAAAAAAATTGATTTCAGAGAGAGGAAAGGAGAAAGAGAGAGATAGAAACATCAATGATGAGAGTCTCTGATCAGCTGCCTCCTGCATGCTCCCTACTGGGGATTGAGCCTGCAACCCGGGCATGTGCCCTGATCAGAAATCGAACCATGACCTCCTGGTCCATAGGTTGATGCTTAACCACTGAGCCATGCTGGCCAGGCTTAAGACAATATTTTTATATGAAGACAAATGCATATATATTATGTAAAAGAATGTAGAAGCATGAAATTCAAAGCCAAAACATGAAACTTCAGAGGACTTTTACACTATGGGAAGGCTACTTAAGGCTATTTCTTTAGAGTTCAGTCCCAACCCTGCAATGCACTGGCCCCCTCTGCTGAGTGGTGTTTGGGTAGAGAACTTGGAGAAACTCTGCTGTACTCAACCTCCTTTATTATTAGAGGAGAAGGAAGTGAAGACCAGAGTAGAGAATTAACCTAAGGACACACAGCTCTGAGGATTTGAAACCCAGGCTTGTTCTTTCCTCTGTAATGAAATGCTGCAATTAGGTTTATAAGAGTGCTTACCATGGCAAGAAAGGGGAGCAAAACAGAAAAGGGGCTCTGAGTTAAGTCTTGGTGATCCAGAAAATGAATTCAAGAAACAGTTTTATTCAGAATCTGTGCTCTGGGTTCTGAGAGTCTACCCCATTCAAGGATAGAGTACATTTCCTTACCTCTTTCTGGATCCAGCATTCCCTGTTTGGGAAAAAGGCTCAGGTAAGAAGAGAAGAGAAATCCAACTCCAGTGCCAGGGAACAAGGGGAAGGAGGCCAATATGGTAGCAGGGCCACCTGGCAGCCCCTCTGGATGCCATACCAGTGAACTGGTAGGACTGGCTATGTTAAAACAGTGAGAGACATGTTGACTTTCCCTTGCTCACATATGACAGGCTGTACCTGCACACACACACACACACACACACACACACACACACACACACACCCCTCTCACTCGGGCTCACAGGTCCAAAAGCTTATGATCAAAAGGTGGCTCACAAAGCAGAAATGCAAGAAACCATTAAAGAATCGAGTTCTGGCCTCCCCATCACGCAACCACCCACTGGCAATCAAAATGAGAATTGGAAGGGAGAAGTCAGCCTTAACCGGGGAATTGATCAAGTGTAGCTTTTTTTTGTTTGTTTTTACTCAAAACGCTGTCCCTCAAATATTAAATTAAGGTGAAGGGATTGTGTTGTTTTGTAAAGGTGTCTTTGACATTGCAAGTTTATGACACCCAGTCGTCAAAACCTTAAGCCACAAATGTCTACAGATTGGCTTGCTGCTGTCACCTCTCACAGAAGTGCAACTTTCAATATAATTTAATCAAGTCAATTAATACTGTTTAATAAATAGGCCAGAAAATTAGCTGAGAGTTTTTCTCGGCGGGATGCGGCGTGCGACCAGAGTTATGGAAGATTGTCCCTTGAATCACTAAGGCAAACTTTGTTGAGTGTCATTTTACATAAAGCAGTCACATAAAAAAAAGAGAGAGTTTTAAATAGAAAAAATTCCAAAGTAGTTCTCCCACAGACAGACAGGGAAATTGAAACATCTAAAAAAAAGGGGAAAAAAACAAAACACAGCCCCCCTACCCCACAACCCATTTGCTTCAAGTGCTTGAACATACAGTACTCAGCATCTTTGGATATTTTACAATGTACAACTCCAAACTGCAGCCAAGAGGAAACAAAGAGAACTAACCAGTCATCTGAAAAAATTGAGTTTATAAGAAGTCATTACCTTTACAAAATAAAAACAAAAGCCCCGATACCACTGGATTCCAATTTGTTCATTTTTCCTTGTTTGCCTTTAAAGTTCGGGTCAGCCCAATCCCGTGGCTGATGGGGGGACATGGGCATGTTGGGAAGTGTCTGGAATGGAGACAGGAATCTGAGAGGAGGCTGCCCAAGCAGGTGGCATTTGAAGGTGAGAGGGTGTCTGAAGCAATTCCCTCTGGTGTAATGGCAGCTGATGGTGTGGCGTCAGGGGTCTCTTCTGAGGGGCTGGGGTAGGGACGGAGTCTGTGGTCTTCTCTGGCCTTTTTGTTATTTGTGTTTGCTCAGGAAGAAGCCAAGGCGAGAGGAAGAGTGAAGTCTCCGAGGCCCACAGCTCTGGGATTGGGGACACCGGCCTGGGCAATTGTGCAGGTGAACTCTCCTTCTTTCCTGGCTACTGAGAAAACAAAGCAAACTCAGCAAGAAAAGGGAGGGAAGGCAGGAAAGGGGAGAGAAGAGCAGGAAGGCACTGGGCCAGCAGAGCTGTCTTCCTTCTCAGGACCCGCTACAAACTCAAGAACCGGGGAGAGTGTGTGGACAGCCCCAACTCACAGAGCCCTTCAAACCCACACTAGAACCAAGGCTCAGCCTCCCCACACAGAGGGGAGCCACATACCCCAGCTTCATCTCCAGAGGGAGGGGTCCAGGGTGTTCAAATGCAGCAAAGAGAAACCCACAACTTGAAAAGCAAACAGATAAGCCCACGGAACCAGGAATTTTGTCTATTTCCAGGGATCAAAGTAGAGGCAGGCAGTTGACAGGCATTAAGACATGATCCCCATCCTTTCTTTGTTGGCCTCAGGGGTCTCAAGAGATTCCCTACAGCTTTGGAGGGTGTGTATGGAGATGGAGTAAGTGCTAAAGTCATCGCAGGGGTCCAGACACACACAGTGGCCTGCCCAGAGAGAAGAGGAGGGAATATGTGGAGTTCCACAAAACTGCATGTGGGCTGTGGACAATCCCCACCCCAGTTCTCCCTCTCTGTCACGGTGTCTAGTTTGGCCACTTGTCTCACCCGTGCTAATAAAGAGGTGGATGTTATAAAACGAAATCCCATAATACAGCTGATTTTATCTGGGACTTTAAGTAGAAAAGCTTCTACCTTCACAGAATTTGGTTGGAGGGACAGGCATGTAGATGTTGGCGGGTGGGTGTGGGAGGAAAAACTAAATTACCGGCCCCTTTTCATAGTAGGATGAAACCGGAGTACAGAAAACTGACCTGTTCAAGGTCACAAGACAGTGAGGGAAAAATGGGCCAGGACTCCAGGAGCCTTGCTCCTGACTCCAAGAGGCCTCCCTGCCAATAGGGCATTTGCCATAAAGATCCCAGGACCTCTAGAGACTGGGAAAGTGACCCATCAGAGCAGTGTCACCAGGGACTCTGCCATAGGGATGTGGGGCTCAACCAGGGCCTGTGCCCCAGGCCCCTCGCCTCATCCCTGCTGCATCTGATCTGCCTCTGGCCCTGCCACCTCCCTGCATGCACAGCTCCAAAGTGCTCCAGGGCGCCCAGCGTGGGGCCTCCTCTGAGGCCTGGGACACTGTGAGTTCCTGTGTGAGAGCTAGAGAGAGCCAGTTAGGGAGAGGCTGGCCCAGCTGAGAGGAGATGCTCATCTCAGACACAAGCAAAAGGGAGGCAGGTGCCTCAGGAGGCCTGGAAAAATACCATTGCTGCTGATATATATTTCTTTCATTTTTTTTCTTTGTGATTTTGAAATAAGTTCAGATCCATTGGATGGGGCAGGGCGGGCCTGCTGGGAGAGAGGGCAGGGCAGCTGGACTGGGCAGACAAGGACAAGCCTAGTTGTTGGCTTCAGACATGGAGGCCACATGATTGAGGCCAGCGAGCCCAGGGAGGCCGGCCAGGCCCGTGGCCCATGGGTCAGGCAGCGGGAAGTAGGGCCTCGCTGCGGCCACGTTCTCGGCCAGCGCGAAGGCCAAGAGGCCCCCCGTGTTCCTCTCGGCCTCCAGCTGCGCGCGCCCGAACAGCTTCATCTGTGTCTCCTCGAACTGCCGCTCAAGCTCCTGCAGGCTCAGTGCGCCCTTGGGTGCTGCCAGGAAGTGCTTGGTGGGGCTGGGGCCCGGGAGGCACATGGTGGCCCCGCCCAGGTGGCTGCCCACCTCGCCCAGCGCTGGGGGCATCACAAAGGCCGCCTTCTCCGGGGCTGGGCCTCCGGGCCCGAAGAGCAGGCTGGCTGCCCTCCAGGCGGCAGGCTTGCGGCCTCGTCGAGGCCGTGCCATGCGGCAGCTCTGGCGCTTGATGTGGCGGTGCAGGTGGTCGGAGCGCGTGAAGCTCTTGTAGCAGAACTCGCACTGGTAGGGTCGCACGCCCGTGTGGATGCGCATGTGATTCTTGAGGTCGTAGTTGTGCACGAACTTGGCGTTGCAATGGATGCACAGGTAGGGCCGTTCCCCTGTGTGCTTCCGCATGTGGATCTTCAGCTTGTCCTGCCTGCAATGCAGAGCTGGGAGTCAGTCCCTGCAGGGAACACTGGGAGCCACTTCCTACCCTCTCTCCCCTCTCCCCCCTTCCTCCGGGACCTGCTATACTGCCAAGTCTCAAACTCTAGGAATGGACCCAGGCTAGAATTTACCTTCAACCCCTGCCCCACCCCAAACAGGCATGGTTATCACCTGGATTAGAGAGCTGGAGAAAGAGCAGTGTCCTGAAAGACCTCCTCCACTCCGGAACCCTTTCTACTTGTGAGCTCTGAGTAATGAAGCTCCCACTCTTTGTTAGGGGCCCCTCTCACAGGCTGGAAAATAGACCTGCTGGCGACACACATCCCCACAAGTCAGCAGTCCTTAGTCCTCAGTGGGGCAGTGACCTCTGATACTGGGTTGCACCTTAATCTCATGCCCACTTCCCTCCAGTTTGCCATGTGCTTTTTCCCAGAGCCCCTGGGCCCATCCCAGCCTAGCTGTTGAGCTCTGTCTGTCCTCAGGGCTAATCTGGGAGGCTATAGAAGCCGGCACACCTTGTGCAAGTCTCCTGCACTGTGGTTTCTTATCCCAAACCCTGGGCTCTGCTCTTTGTCTGCAGACAATTCCAGGGTTTACAAAAGAGCCAGGTGCGACAAGAATGCAGCTTAATCTATGGCAAAGCTTCTCAGGGTTTAAGCAGTATTATTCAGAGGTAAGGTATGGTGTAGGGGTGGGGCGCGCACTGGGGGTTTGGGGGCCCCTGCTCCAGCTGCAGACCCACCACTAACATACTGGGGGACCGTAGGCAAGTTACTTAACCTCTCTGAACAGAGCTGAACCTAGGACCAGACATCAATTCCTGCTGTCCAGGGCTGATGAAGAGAATCAGGGTTTTCGTTGCCCTAGATTCAACACACCTCCTGGTGGTCTTGAGAGGAAAATTGAGGGTTTTTTCCCCTCAAGACTGAGCCTGCATAAACCAGCCTGGCTGAGGTGGAGTCAGCTGGGCTGCAAGGACTCCTCTCAGGATCATTCTGAAGCCTTCCCTGGCCAGGCCTGCAGGCCAAGCAGCTCTGTGTCCAGTCTCCCCACTCCTCCCTGCAGGTGTGGCTTGGGTGGAACGTCTGCCTGTAATTTTTGGCTCAGTTTTGAGGTCGGAACAGATGTGGAGCTCAGGGGTCCACCCTAAAATGGCCAGATTTAAATAAACCACCCTCAACATAACCCCAAGACAGCAGGAGCAGAGGGCCTGGCCTCCTGCTGTCCCCTGGCCACTAGAGGTCTCACTGGCTCTCATTTTCTGCCCAGTTCCCTAAGGGCGGGGCAGGATGTTTTTGTGTACACAGGCAGGGGCCAGGGGAGGAGGACCCCAGAGGACAGATCTGCCCTTTCCACCTGTGCTCACAGGAGGGCTGGAGGGTACTTGGGAAATGGAGGAGGGGGTGGGGAGTGGGATGGGCAGAAAAGAGGAAGTGAGCTGGCTGGTGTCGACCTCTCTTCCACATCCCCTGTCCCTCCCACAACCCACCAGCTGTCCCCAGGCCGCATAGTACCCCGCTGTGACATCCCATGCCTCC